TGAGAAGGGATGGGGGGGAGGTGGGGGAAGGACTCTTTACATCAGTGATGGGTGATAGAACAAGAGGAAATGGGCATAAGCTTAGTCAGGGGAGAATCAGGTTGGATGTTAGGAAGTATTTCTTCTCTGAAAGGGTTGTCAGCCACTGGAATAGGCTGCCCAGGGAGGTGGTTGAGTCCCCATCCCTGGATGTGTTTAAGAATAGGGTGGATGATCTACTTGGGGATATGGTTTAATGGGGATTAGGGATGGTTGGACTGGATGATCTCTAAGGTCTTTTCCAACCTAGAAATCTATGAATCTATGAAAAGCAAAATTGCAAGAAAGACACAGAAAACTCAGGTAGTTGTATTGGTGAGTGTTTGAAAGGAACTGGAATGCTTCTGAAAGCATGGAATATGGAATGGAATGTTGAGTGAAGAACTAGAAATATACCTGTACTTATATGGAAGATGGGAAAAGTGATTAGACAGTGCAACTGAAATGAGAAGCCTAGAAAGTAGGAAGGAGAGATTCTGAGGATGAAGAGGAAAATAAATTAAAAATAGTATGTGCTTGATGTTTTTAGCTTCGTTGCTTGTGGTGATGCAAATAAAGTCTGTGAGTCTGTAGCATAGATGTTTAAATCTGCATTAATCATCCAGACTCTTTTTGTTGTCATTGGAGACTTGGAGGTGCTTCTGGGGGGAGACTGTCTCCTCCCACAGTAGACTAAATTAATTTTGCTTTAGAAGTGCTTCCTTACCATGATTATCAAGGGTGTTTAGGCGTAAATCAATGTGGTAGCCTTTTAAATGCCGCTTTGTATGTACATCTGGCAACTTGAAAGTATTGACACAAAAATCTAGTGTGGTAATTTTTAATTTTTTTTTAAATGCTTTACATTTGTATCTCAAGAATACATTTTTGTTCTACAGATGGAAATGGAAAGCTGGCAGCAAGAACAGCCTGTAGTATTGCGAACATGGACAATGGAATCACCTCATAACTATGAAAATAATTGCCATGAGGTCTCAGTCTTCCTATGTCATGGGGCAACTTATTTTGAGGTGGAATTTGATGAAAGATGTGAAACTGAAAGGAGGTAATTTAATCTTGTGCTGTGTTAGTTTCCAATATCTATTTGCAGAGGGGAAATTCATGTTTCAAAGTGCAAGGAATACTTCTTGCACTCCAAGCATGCTATTTCAATTTCTTCTTTGTCCTGTGTAATATACAATGTGTATTTTGAATGACTTCTCATGCTTAAAGCCACTTCTGGCAAATGTACAGGCATACTGTTCATATGAATTTTACTGCCTTTGCCCTTGATCTGTTTTGTAATATTAGTATGACCACCAGAATTTGTGCTTGTGGTGTTTATTTTGCCCTCTTTAGGCAAAACTATTGGCTTGGTTTGTCCTGGTGATGTATCAGGCTACTGCTTAGTGAAGGCATATGCCAGATATTAAAATTAGCACCCATTACCAATTCTGAAGGATTGGGAAAGTTCTGCAGGAAAGCAGGTCTATGTTTGCTGGGACTATTGCATTGAAACATAAAATAAATTCCTTAGCAGTCAGGTGAAGCAACGCAGGTGTGGTTCAGAAAGGTGTGACAGGGTACACTGAGATGTGGCACTTGTGAAAATCCAAAAATAAACATTTTCCCCCAAACTTAAGAAGTAAATTTGGAAGTAATGAGTTGCAATTTTCACAGATATGATTACCTGGAGTTTACCGATGCCAGAGGTGCAAAAACTCGTTACGATACAAAGGTTGGCACTGAGAAGTGGCCTAAGGTGAGCACCTTTTCAAATTCTGAACCAAGTGATATATACATTCTTAGGAAATTCATATGATTCTTGCGGGAAACATACTGTCTAAAAGGATGTGTGCTTTCTTGCACGTGTATGTGTGTGTTTATTCCCTCTCAAGGGTGGGGAGCAGCAGGTGAGGAAGAAAGTCTGCAATAATGCAAATAAAAGGATTGAATGACTAAAGAATCCATCTTTGTTGCTATTATTGAAGGGGCAGGCAGTCAAAATGAAAAAGTAATTGTCATCTTTAACTGCTAGTAACTAACTACATGGGTAAAACTTCCTCGTTGACACTGTGCCCTTGCAATTTTTCACATCGTGAGACAAATGTAGTGCTTCCTACAGCTATGCTCCTTCTTCAGTGACGCCTACTCAGATGGGATGCTTCTCTGTTGTTTTATGGCTCTGACTTCTAAAGCTCAATCATCTATAAAATTTCTCATTAAGCTATTGAATAGACATTTTACCTGCTTAGTATTGTGAGTTTCTTGTTCAGATGGTGGGGGTAATTAGACCTGTTATGGACAGAACATAATACTGAAAAAGCACAATTGCTGAAGGAAATTCATTACCCTGAAACATCTTCCTGTCATGTACATTTGGCAAAATGACTGTTTTGTTGCTCTGTAGAAAGTGACCTTTAAGGCTGGCCCACGGCTGCAGTTTCTCTTTCACTCTGACAGCAGTAATAATGAGTGGGGCTACAAGTTTTCCATCACTGCTTACGGCCTACCAGATGTTGCCGTTTCTTGGGGCTTGGATTTACAGCTTCTTGTATCCCGGCTGATGGGGCGCTTGGCTTCCCGAAGTATGGCACTGAAAAGTCTCCGAGGTGAGTGCACCTAATAGCTCCAGAAGTTGTGATGCCATATAAAGAGTAGATAGAGGGCCTTATGTTTCAAGTCCCCTGTGAAGATGGAGTTCCTTTGTGTTTCTCTCTTAACTGAAGATGGAAGACTTGCTGTGTTGCTGCTTAGCAAAGCTGGGTTGTTGAGCTATCCCCACTGCTTGTGGCAAGCCTGGCTGCTGTTCTGCAGGACTGCTCTGAGCGAGTACTCAGAGATCACTGTGATTTCTCTGGTATTCAGAAGCCAATGTTAGGAAGGCATGGACACCTGGAAGTAATCACAATAAGCGGAATTACATTTATGAAGTAATATCAGAGTTTGCCCAATCTTCTGTTCTTCCTGTTCTTTTTTTCTTGTAAAATGGTTCCCTAGTGCTGTGATCCACCCTATGTTGGTGGTGTGAATATGGAACCAGCAAATCAAAAAAAATGCAGAGCTTAGAACACAAATTATTTTAAAAGTTTTACATGAGCATTTGGTATTGATTTAAATTTTAATTCAAAATTAAGTTTGACTAATTCCAGAAGTTAACTACACTTAGGATTTGGGCCACTGAAGACGAGTAGAATGCAAAATATGAGATAGGTGAAATAAGGAAGAAAAAAAAAAAAGCACTGTTTATTCTTTTAGTTAAAAAGAACACTTCTATGTGGCTTCCTAAATCTGAATTCATTCGCCACTTTGGAGAAGTACTCACCTTGAAAAATTAGGAGGTACTTAGCTGTGAATTTAGGGAACTAACTGAAGTGTTCTTATCATAGAATATTTTCTTCCTTTCTTAATGTGAGCATGCTTACATATAGCAAATTATTAGGTCTTTAGTAGGAGAAGAAGCTTTTAAACTCTCTTGCAAATTGGGGAATTTCTATGGTTGTAAGTACAGTGAAAATTTTAGATTTAAAGTCCTTCCATAATGTAACATATTGTCCCTATAAGATGTAATATTGATGCTATCATTCAAGGGTATTTCAATTTTCTGCACCTCATTAGAGAAACAGAAGTTAGAGAATGTTGTTAAAACTTGTTCAGTCTACCTGCATTACCTTTTTTTCGCCCCCTACTGCATATTTAACATTTATTAATTTCATTAATCTGTAAAAATGAACAAAAATATTTAGTAACTGAAGTGTCTGTTCTGAATGTCTTGCAGAACTAGGTAGTGAAGCAGACTTGCCTCCTTTGAAAGTAACATCAGTTCTTAATTCTCCTCTGTGGAAACCTGTCTTCAGGCATCAGATGTGTCCTGAGGTACTCCGGGGAGCCAGTCAAAGCAGTAGACTGCACCAAGATAAAAGAGAGGTACTTACACCACTGCTCTTGTTTCATTGGCATGAATTCCCTATGTGTCACAGTTTCATTCAGACTTAATTGATTGATGTATCCTTAAGCATATGCTGTTGTGCTAAAGCTGTCATCACTTGCACTCTTTAATTCAAATACTGAGGAGAGAATCTGTTGTTCTGTGCCCTTTATTAGTTTCCATTTTCACAGAATTATAGAATGATTGGGAGGGACCTGCAAAGATCATCTAATTAACCCTTCCTGCCTTGAGCAGGGACATCTTTCATTAGACCAGGTTGCTCTACTGCAGTAGATATACTGCAAGTTGACTTAATTGTAGAAATGAGCTGCAACAATTTTTCAGATAATATTAAAGTAAATGTTTTCCAACGTTCTTTCCAGGCTAGGAGCTCTCACCAAGATGTCTGCCGTAACTTTCTTATCGACTTTGCAAAATCAGATCCTGCCCAGGACTTCAGTGGGCAAAAATCTGAACTTTTCAAAGGACTTACACAGGCATGTAAAAAACAGACCCCAAAGACAGATATAGTTGCTGGTTCTACTGTTGATCAAGCTGTGAACTCAACATTTGCTGCTTTGGTGTATCTCACTCCAGATTTATATGAGAAGCTTCAAAAATATGGTAACTCTAATATTAGACTGTCTTAATAATGAAGAGTTAAAGTTTGTAAAAGGCTTATAGTTCAGTTTATAAACTTTGAAAAATCAGTTTAGCATGACAATTTTTAAATAGATGTGTATAAAAAAAATCAGAATTTAGGTAGACTAGGTAAACCTTATCTCTAGAATGTTTATTTTTTATTAATACATGCTTTTATCTTCAGAGCTCTGTCCAAATATTAATAACCATCGGAATCTACTGACTAAGCTTTGTAAGGATATACCCAAAGAGACTAGTGGTGTCCTCTGGAGTTTTAATTCAGAACAGTGTGACTCCTGGTGATTAATGGTTCTTATATCATTTCACACTCTCATTGTATCTTTTCTAAAAAGCAAGCATCAACTTGTATATGGCTTTTAAATGTTGGAGGTGGAGAAGGTGTAAATTAACATTTTGGGAGGTACACTGTGGAAACTAACCTTGACATCCTCAAATACATATTTTTAATATTTTTTTTAATAAAAGGTAATATTTTGCTATTAACTTGTATAATACCCATTGTATTACAGTGGATATATTTTCAGTAGGTAAAATGAACAGCTTTTAAACTTACACCATCCTTCTATTAAGCTTATTGATATATTTCAAGTATTGGATAATAAGGTATTACTTGGTTTTGAAGGGTTTCACTTTAGGCTTTCACTTTCTGTCACAATTTTGAAGTGAAACATCTTACATTTTGAGCTATAAAGTTAAGGGTAAAAATGATTGACACAAAACCTGACTTGATTACTAAAGTGCTTATTGCCTTTAGTCATTTTGTCTATGCCTGACAGTTGATCTGATTTTCTGAGTAAGATTGAAAACTGTGGAAACTCAGGAAAATATTAATGAGTGGATAAGATATGGATCCTACTATAATGTTAATAGCTTCATCTGTCGGTCTTGCTGGAGACTAATTTCAAGACTCATGTTGACCTGTGCCATATGAAGCATATACAAGTGGTGCTGAGAAGAAGAAAAAATAAAAAAAAATAAATAAAAACAAAAAGGGGAATGGGAGAGAGAGGACCCTGAATAGGAATATCTTTTTCTCCATAGTTGTTGTCAGGCCAGTTTTGATGGAAACTGCTTTGTCAGGTCTTTAATTTTTGTAAATTGATCTTGAAAGTGTATTCCAGAAATTCACAGTGGAAAACAAAAGGGAAAAAAAATTGGTAACTAAATACATCTAGAGAGCTTTAAGTTAATACTAAGCATTTATTGATTATTCTTATATCAGTTTTCATTTGTGATATTTGAATGTATGGGGAGAGGTTTTTATTTTCCATGACAGCAGGCATTAATTTTGGGAAGATACATAATTCGAGAAAGATACCATAATTTAATTTAGCAAATAACTTTGTCAAGGTGCAGTTATGTATTTAAGGTGTTTGAAAGCTGGCAGTTTTTATTCCCTTTTTCTTACAGGCATAATTCCAAGAATTGACTAAGAGACAGAGGGAAGGCTCTAGCATAATTTTAGTTAAGTAGTCAAGTTGTATAAAAATGGAGCTGTAAATAAACAGAACTCTTCTTTCTCTCATTTCCAGTCAACAGTGGAGGAAAGGTGCCTTTGAGTGATGAGTTTGCACAAGTATATTCCCTGGCTGATTCAATTAGAATATGGATGGTAAGATCACACAGGAAGATATCTGTTAATGTCTTTTATCTTAATATGCAATGTTAAGAAGTAGGGTGGAACAGTGTTTTCCTTCAGTGATTCTAGGTCAACTGTTTTTGCTTAGGAAGAACATATATTCACTTCTAAACTTTGAATTTAAACATTTAAATGCATTCCTTCCCTCAGCCCCAGATGTGTCATCATGAGCGTTTAAGACTGAATTTGACTTAAAATCAGTGTTATTTTTCAGCAGAAATGTGTGTTGTTTGTTAGGAATGTTCTTATACAGCAGTTGGGAATTCTTTTGAGGTTTAGCATAGGAAGAAATCTGTCTTAAACATCATTCTCACAGTAATGCAGTGCTGACAGAAAAGGAAATAATGGCTTCTTTGACAAGCAGGTAACTGGCTGCAGTTCAGAGTGTGTTTTTTTGCACATAATTTTCCTTGAAGCATAAGCCTACGTCAAGAGCTGGTGACAACCTGGTGAGATGTGTCCACATCATCACCTGCAGCTGCAGAGAGTCAAAATTTATTTAGATTCACTAGTCTGCAGGAGATTCTGAATGTTAACAACTACGTGGCCTTCAAGAACAGCTAATTCTTTCTGTAGCCTGCTGTTCTGCTACTCTCGCGAGCCTGTCAGATGCAGGCCGGCCAAATGAACTGTTCTAGTATCTTGTGACCTCCTCACTCCTCTTTCCTGCCTGCTAGAATTCCTGGCAACTTAATACACTAGAGCTGCAATAAGCGTAGATGCATGTTAGATGAATAGTTGCATTGTACCCATGGCTTGCAGGTGATGTTGGCATCTGACGGTGCTCACTAGTTGGATGACACGATGCTTTTGAAGAGTCTTATATCCTGACTAGATGTATATCTTTTTCGGAGTGGTATAGGGGTAAAGGGGAAGCCTTCTTTTTCTTGGAGGGCTGATGCACTTCCAGTCACAAGACAGGGAAGGGTCTCAGCCTACAAGCCTTGAGCATCTTGGTATGAGGCTGCGTTATCTCCTCTGATAGTTTAGGTACCGCTCTTTCAGACTACTAGGTGTTTTGTTCTGCAGTAGGGAATAAATACTGTCATCTCTTCCTGAGCTTAAATTTCTTTAATGCAATACAGTCTTCATACTGCCTTGCTGTGTAGATATACAGGGGGAGTCATATTTTAACTATTTTAACATCCTGTCTACAGTTGGAAATGAAGCAGAAATCCCTGATGGGTAGGGGAAATGATACTGAGGAGAAGCAGAACACAGAAGCAAGTGAGGTGAACCCAGAGACTCTTGGTAAGTGTTGCCTTTCCAAACGTGTAAGCATTCCAGGTAGTTTAGTAAAGCGTTGCTTTGTAAATCTTAGTCATTACCTTTGCTGTGAAAGATAAGTTAGCGAGTAGAGTTACTTTTTAATACCTGAAGAGAGATAAACTAGTATAAATTACATGAGCTATCTGGGATCGTGTTCTGCTGTTCTTTGATGAAAATAGTACACAGGGAAAATGCTACGGGGAGTGACCTCTCACTTGAGTCACCTGGTTCTGAACTTACATTCGTCTGGTTTTGTAGATACTTGTCACTACAATTAACTGATGTTAGAATAGTAGCTGATTGTTATTAGAATAAAATGTGTTCTCACTGATTACTGTGTGCTTCATATGGTTCAGTGTGCTTATTCAAAATTAGCATTTGGAAATCTAGCATTAAGTAACTGATAGCATCATCATCAATGTAATGAGAAAAATCTTTTCTAGCTGTTTTGGCTCAGAAGAAACAAGATAAATGACTTTCTTCCTAAGCAGAAGATAGCATGTTTGGTGTTCTTTTGTCATGATTTTAATTCTTCCAATTTTTATGCTGCAGCAAAACTTTGTATGCAGAAGAGCCTTTTGTTACTGAATTTTTTGCCTGTAAGAGCAAAGACGAAAGATTCTGCTGCAGACAGTTTGGAAGACCAAGATATTGATGATAGCCAACAGTATGTCAGTGATAAATGCCAAAGAAAAGGTTCTGTTGTGGACACGGACTTCCAGGCAGCACACTCGTCATCTTCCGATGGAGTTACTCATCCTGTTTTGAAAGAAGGGGGCCAAATGACACAATCTGATATGAAGATTAAACAAGTTCCAGACCCCCTCCAAACAGAAGAAGCATCTGCATTTCATAGTAAGCCTGTTGAAAATACAGTTTCACAGCAAGAAGATGTATCATCACCTCCTTCCACTCCCACACGAAAATCTCAGTTCAGCCGTGGAAGACTAAGGCTGCTGTCTTTCAGATCAATGGAAGAGCCAAGAGCTGTGCCTACTGTGAAGGAGAAATACCCTATATTGAAAAACATACTAGACTTTATTAAGGATCAATCACTTTCACATGAAAGGTAAGCAAATTGAAAATGTTGCCAATTATGAAATACAGAAACTTGTCTCCAGACCTCTTCAGGTGGAATAAAACATCTTTTAGCTGCAAGATAGCATTGAAAATCATTTTGTACATAAACAGGTGTCACATTTACGTATCAAACTTCAGTTATTCAC